CGCGCCCATAAGATAGGTCGAATCAGCTGACACGACCCACGATTCTGCGATTTTGACTGTTTCTGCTATTAGACGTTCTTCACACAGTAAACATGTACTACAGGCAAGCGGAGCGATTTTATTTTTATATTTATCACTTTTCATTTGCCAAATTGCTTATTTGTTTTTTATAAGATTAATAAATTCTAATGCGAAATCTTTATTAATGGGGTAGCCTACTTAAGAAGCTTCAAATAATCGTTTTTGTTTTTTGCTTAAATCTCTTTAAAAATTATCTAAGAATATGTCCCAAAAGTTATAGATGGGAATTCGAAATATTATCGAAGCTAGAATGGAAATAATGACCGAGAGTTTAGCAGATATATTAGCGCTTGGGCGAAAAGCGAAAACTTTGCCGCGAGATTTTTGGGTTTTCATTTTTACGATTTTTCTTAAATGACGATAAAACGTCGAATGGAATATGGGGCAAAGTTTATTATCTATTACATTAAAGTATCTTCTATTTAAACTATAATAAATAAACTAAGAAAAATCAAGTTTAAACATATTTCTAAAACACATTAAGTAAAATTTCTTTTGAACAAAAAACATGATTTTTTTAAATTTTACACTCTTTTTGGAAATTTCTTAGTTTACCAAGAAGATGAGTTATTAAAAATTATGAATCTTTTCGAATTTTTTGTTTCCGATAGAAATTGCGTCTTGCCCTCCTTTCGTAAAATGCACATGCGAGATGCATCGGGCAATTGCTTCCCAAAGGCAGAATATCAAAGATTTCGTATCCAAAAAATTTGTGAAAGATGTTCAAATATATGATTATAAAGCCAAGAAATTTCACTTGAATCAATTATTTCTTTCCTTCCCACAAAAATCTAAAAAAAAAAAAATGATTTTTTGAAGCCTCTAAAGCAGGCAAGCCCCTTAACAATTGCAATTTTTCGGCGATCTAACCCCGTTTGGATCGGTGAGTCTTGATTTGTGTGTGTCGTCACTGGAGCAACGCCTTGCCTTTTTTTATTCAAACATTAATGAATGTATTGCTAGCCTTTTAGTTTCCCCTTTTCTGTTTGGTTGTACATCCTCGCTTTCCTCACCGTTGTCATCAGTGTACTCGTACGTGGTGTCCTCATCGAGATTTATGTATTCGTTGTTTGTGCTGTCATCTTCTCGTASTATGTTGTGCAATATACAACACACAACAAACCAATCACAACATAAATTGTGGCTTTCTTTATCTATAAGGCGTGCTCTGAACTCCTTAAGACTGCAAAACCGCTCCTTCAATAGGCCGAAGCCATGTTCGACTCGAACTCGAAATTTACTGTGACGCAAATTGAAATTAATTCGAGAATTTATGTCTAGCACTCGAGCATTACTTCGGAATGGAGTTATCATAGTTTCGGACAAAGGATAGGCTGAGTCACCAGCTAACCACTGCTGTGACGAAAAAAATTTTWCTTTTTGCAAGAAAAGTGAGCTGCTGCGGTATACTCTCGCATCATGCCAACTGCCAACATGTCCCACCATTACGTGTCGTATTTTTAGTTTATAATCGCAAACTATTTGGGYTTTGATTGAGTAGATGTGCTTACGAGAAAAGAATGATGTAGGATCGATAACTGGCGATTCTGCTAGCTTTATCTCCGTACCATCAATATAGTCAATGCAAAATGGCATTTCAGAATACGTAGCATGTACAATTTCTGATCGCTCTGTTTCATTTGGCCAAAAAAGGAAGGAATCTCTTAACCTTAGTATAGCACTGAAAACTCTTTTTGTAATTATGGATAGAGTTCCACCATCTCCTACACCAAATAATGTTGCAATTTTTTTCAATGCAGCACCCTCTCCGCATGAGCCCAGACGATAAAGCACAATTGCTAGCTGCAAGTCCACAGGAATCTGTTTGGAGGAATGTGCTTTATTGAATTCCGGATCGTTCTTAATCAGGTTAAATATTTTGTTAAATTGTTCCTTGCTTACTCGAAGCATTTGGCGGAACCGGTTTTCGTCGAATTTATTTAAAAATTCATTTCGCCATACTGGTGACTTTGGGACTTCATGCTCAACT